TATGATTTGTATAGAGATACCGAGAACTTGTTAATTTTAGGAGTGTTAACTGACTTCCCTTTCAGGAACTGCTTTACGAATCGCCAACAAATCCTCCGTTGCAAGACAATTTACATTTCACTGTAGACGATCTCACTTTTATTTCCATCCTAGCTTGCACGGATGGCTCAGTAATCTCTAATTCCGGTGTCGAAATAAATTACGAATGGCAAAATGGTACTTTTTTCATTTTGCAGCAACTTAGAATCATTGTTCGAAAGTTTGGCAAATGTGAGGTCTCTGACGACAGAAGGAAAACATTGAAGACGAAACAGGAAAGGGGAAGAGGAGCTGCAGACAGTAAACGAAAAAAAATATTTGTTAACTGAAAAAATTGAGGCCTATTTCAAAACTCAGTGTATTTCCTCCTTTTTCTGAACGTAGCATGTTATTCTTCAAAAAAAAAAAAAAAAAATAAAGGGACTTCAATATAGCAATCATTGTCAGCAAATGTTCCTTACAAGATAGCCACTGGCTTCGTTTTCCAGAAAAAGCAAACTGACGCCGGAGAATTCAGTTTACTTCGACAAGCTAGATACAGTTTACATTCAAAAATAACTTGAATTTGTAAATTATCGCATGAAAAGTTCTGAGCGAAATTTCGAGAGTGATAATTCGCGAGGTCTGAGAGGCTGGACGAGGTGGTGAGGCGAGGAAGTGCTGTGAACAACAATTTTTGTTTTTCTGAAAGTTATTTTGATGGCCCACAGTTTATGTTGTTCGGTAAATCTCAGTACTCCCAATTAGCCACAATATCCCCAATTAGTCTTCTGTTCATTTCGATAATAAATTAATACAGGCGTTTCTCAAGGAACTAAAAACTCCTCCAATTTGCTTTTTCTTAGCAACCTTTGAGAAGAACCCTCAAGAACCTCACCAGCAAGTAATTTCCGCACGTGTCTTCTCTTACAGATAGTCAAATACAGATATGAGAAAGCAGTCAAATATAGATGGGGCAAGGCCTCCACTACATGTACCATACAATTTCGCAGTGCTCTTTGGCATAGACCGTCTTGCACAAAATCTTGGAACTCCCTGATAAACCTCGAATTTTTGAAGAAAGCAAGAAAGTAACAACATGGAGGGCGCTGGAAATATCGGAGAGCTGTGTGTTGTGCGAATCAAACGTACCGCTATTCCTGGGCGCATTATTAGCAGCTCTGATCATATTTATTCCCCCACTGCTCTGTGCTTATGCAACCCTTGTAATTTCCGGAAAAACAAGAACAAAGGGAGCGCATCAGACGACGCAGTCGAATTCGCCATGCAGGTAAGCATCGCGATACTCCAACATTTTCCAATTTTTCGTTGCAAATTTCTGAAAGGTGACTGCAAGGGATTCCAGATTATCATCTGCTGAGAATAATTTTGTGCATATTCAACTAAGTCCCTGCCTAGTAAACATCTTCGACCAGTGTGCCAGTATTTGCGGAGCGATTAAAAAAGATAAATAAAAATAAGAAATTTTTATCGTTTTTACAAATTAAAAAATTTTTACACTTTGAAACAGAACAAACTTTTTTAATTTTTTTCCTGTGAATAGAACGAATTTTGCTTCTCATTCGACGTTTTCGTCAAAAAAAAAAATCAAAGAAAAAAGTTTAGACAGAACCTATTAGTTTTTTTAAACAGGTTTTTCTGCAGAATTAGTTCTGCTTCTGCATTATTATTTTTATCAACCTCTCTTCGCCGATTCAATATGAACTCAGAAGTTCTAGTGCTATTCTGAAAAAGATCAGTGCATATTTGTAAGTAATGACGGCATTTGTACAGACTGAACACGGATATGATACAGTCCGAACAAACAGAAAGCACGGAACTTAAATCATCTGTTGTTACCAAACGATCGATTGGCATACAACTTTCTGCATCATCAACTCCACGATTTCCGCGTTACAGAGGTAAAATTTCGAAGAAAAACTCAATATTTCCAACATTCTACTAAAAAACCTCAAGTTCAGCATTCCATTCACTGCATGTAGAAAAGGAACAGAAATACTGCAATGGTATAAAAACGTATGATCGCATCCGCGATTTTAGTAAGTTTTGTTGGTTTTTTTAAATGGCACAGCTGCGCCTGGTGCTTGGCAATATCCCAATAACATTAATAACTTCAGAAGCCATAATAGTTGTCCGATCAGTCCCGATTTTTTTTAATGCCTAGTTTCAAATAATTTTCTAATTTGTATTTTTAACATTTTTGCAGGTATATTCTGGTCACAAGTGGCAAATTCACCACAACTTACACCAAGAAACGGTGGGCACTCATCGCTTTCATTTAACACGGATCACGAATTGGAATACGACTATTATGAGCCAGCAGTGCCAGGATCGTTCCTTACTCCAGCCGCGGACATCTGTTCCGATATCGATGTTGAACAAATCATCGCTTGTTCGGAACTACTGCGAAGTGCAGCTGCATCAGGGCATGATGCTCCTACTCAGATCGATGATCCATAGCCTAGCACGGTGCGGTAATCGCAAAAGAGTTATCCATGAGCTGTACACTTATTAACATCCCAGAATTGCTTTCATGATTTCATTTTTGGAGAACTCATGCTCTGGTGTTCTCAAGCCCCTTTTTTCTGGGGAGGGGAGAGGGGCCAAAAATTAAAAATCGTTTAAGAAATCCACTCACATAATGGACAGAAATAGCTGTGCGAAAAACTGCCGATTTACGAGGGCCAGTTTTTTTAGGATTTTTAGAACTGGGTACAGTAATCAGTGCTATTGAAAAGCAATGTTACATTTCGGAGATATGGAAAGCTTGGCTCGTTTCTTGAGTGATGAGGTGAAAAAGTCGTTCTTCCGGAAAGGAAACGACAGTCCCTCTGTACGCACTGACCATCCGCTTTACCCGACACTTTTTGCAAACAGACAAGCTACCCTCGCAATAAAATGACGCATGAAAATTACTTTTTGTGTGTCATAGTGGGCCGTCTGACACTGACATTGCAGGGAAAATGGGCAAGTAGCATATCTCGTCCCTGCTTTCGTTTCCTTTCCTCCTTCAGAAAACGTAAGTTATTACTCGCCTATTCGATAAACCACGGGGAATTAAAATGACACCTGCTTTTTTAAAGTACTGATGTGGTTTGAAGAAAGTAATTATAACCATTTAAAAAAGCAATTATACAACCATTATGTTATGCGGGTCTTTTTTCTCCCAAAGACGATGAATTTGTTAGCACTTTTATGCGTTTTTTGCAGCTATGCAATGCAAATAAATCGCAATGCGCACCAGACTAACCGGTGCGATCATGCGTTTTGTGTAATTCAGCCCATCGAACGATTGCCTATTAATGACTTTCACTGCGTTGTACTTTAGTCTATGCAAAAGTAGTTCAAACACTGGAAAATAGTTAAAAATTTCACGCACCAGCGCATGAAAGTTGAATTAGAAATCTTGAAGGGTGAATATCTTTTCGTGATTCCCGAGTTAATAGTTTAACCGCCAAAATTCTCA